GGTCGTAGCATGTGATGGCTCGCGCCGTCTCGGTATTCTGGATAGCAGATGCAGTTGAAACTAATAACGGCAAGATCCCCGCGACCTAACGGACAGTCTACACTTAACGCACCAAACATACGTTCTTCGTTGATAAGCACAATATGAACACAGATGGCCTATAACCTATTCTGGACTGCGTGGGCAAAGTGACATGATTATAAAGCGGAATACTCTTGCAGGTCGGCATTAAATTGTTATCCCCTCATGGCAGGGGTTTCTAAACAATGCACATTGAAATCACCCATTGTCAAGATGTGAGTGTATCTTCCTATTAGATTTCGCTTAGGGCAGTGGCAGTTTTATACTTCGTTTCAAATGTAGAGTTAGGAGGGCGGTACACCAAGCCTATAAGGTGAGAGTTTCTGCCTCTTAACTGCAGGCGACACCAAAGCGAATCAACAATTCGTGAATCTGCTCCTTCATGACCACACACTGTAAGTCGCTTCGGTAATACAGAATTAGGCCTCCTCCTCTTGTCAGTCTGTGCTTCCGAATGAGTGATATGCCAGGTTTCGGGATTTCAGCGTCCGTCATTTCAGTGTGTAACCACGTCTCCGTGATGCCGATGATACCATATGGCTGGGAAACATGGTGATCTTTCAGTTCGGCCAACCTATTGAAGTGGCCCTGAGTATTCCTGGACAAGCACGCTAGTTTATCGACCACTAGTAGATCACAGGGGGTCAAGGAAGTCAGGTGTGTGGGAGTGCCGACCAATGTGCAGTCGGCGATTAGTCAGTATTTGATGAGATACTGAAATACTTCCGTACTTTACTCTGGCCAAGGCGCATCCCAACCCTCATCCAGATCTATGTCAGTATCGGGAAAAGGAGTAATCAATGCCGGTACGTCTGCTGTTTCAGATGATTTCATAACTGGACGTTGCGAAGCATCTGCAGTCCTTAAGCGAAATTCCGATGAAAATCTTTTTTGACTTTTGTGATAACTGTGTAACACATCCGTCGCTGCTTGCTCGGATTGAACAACGAGTTTTAGGATTCTAGGGATGTATCTTCTATAATTTGGCGAGAGAGGTAACCTTTTGAGCGCTCGCACCACAGCAGTATCCAAGGAAAGAGTTTCACGAATGAATCGCCATTGTACTAACTCTGAGTTCCGGCTTCTCGTCTATCGTCTGAAGGAAGCTCTGGCACAACATGGATGAAGGCAGTGTTTAAGCGATCAGGCTTGCTGTGTCATTCTTTAGAGCTTCTTTTCGTCTGTCGCATATTCCACGGAACATCAGGATAAATACGTATGGCACACTATCCGTTAGAGGCATCACAACGATGAGTAACAAAGAATGTAAACGGCCTGCGCTATCACGCTTACCAACGAAAGCTGAAGTTACTGGGAATTTTCACAGGACGCTATCGAAGGTTACGCGGCGACCTAATATTTGGGTGTCAGATATTGAGTGACCCCAACCACGTATGCCGCCATTTGCTGAAACGTAACCACATTACGCAGCTCAGGGATAACTGCTTAAAATTGAAGGAACAATATAGCCGTCTATAGTGTCGACGTAATTAGTTGTCCCTTCGGGATTGCCAACCCTGGAACGCACTCCCAGACTCAGTTGTATCCTCTGCTACCTTGGATGTTTTCAAAAAAAGATTAAATGTTGCACTTAGCTCCCAGCATGTTGTTACGTAAACTTCTCTATTGTAGATTGCGCCAAGCATGCTTTTCTACAGGATTTATTTATCAAATAGATCCAAGTGGGCGACCATACTTTTCTCACGCCTTATATCATCGATCACTGCACCCCAGTGTATTTCTGAACGTTTACGCTGGATTTTTTACTTTTACACTGACGTAATTTATCAAAGTATTCATCTCGGTAGACGTTCGATAGATAACCCAGATATATTTTGGTTTCATCATCTTCACCTCAAGCATCCTACGGGACGTGTCAAGCACTTGCTTTTATCCCGTGATAAATCATTGTTCATTGTTCATTGCAACATGTTTGCGTGAGCAGAACATTTTCCACATCAGTTGAGGATACTAGTGTTACTCTAATAAGTGGGCTCGCCAAAGTGTGCAAAGTTCGGGTGACGAGTAATTCGTACTACTCTTCTGGGTTTGGCTTTTACTTTCATCAGAAGGCACAGTGAATCCCATTGGTTTAGTTCTTCGGACAATTTATCTTACAATATGTTAGTTGCTGGTTCGGGGACGTTCGAGCACCCAACAGTCAGGGCACTATTGGTAGATCTCTTTCGTTGAGCTGTAAGTTTGTGCATCGTTTGTCCTGACTTGTTTATTGTTTGTCTCTCTATTCAAGGTAGCGGTGATTGTAACAGAAGAGGCTGAAAAGGTTGCCTCTTGGCTGGACTTGGCAGCAATCGCGGCATATGTGACTGATGTTCTAGGGGACTTTGGCTCAACATTAGACCCCTGAGCTGAAGATGCTAAAGGTTGCTGTGCGGCTGCTTTGTTCTTTTTACGTACAAGTACCAAGACTAGTGTGATTTGATTACTCACGCGTCTCGATTTGTGCCTGATTTTAGCTGCCACGGGCACTGCTTGCCCCACGACGTTACGATCAATTTTCGCCTGGTGTTCTGCCAAAGATGGAGAAGACAACGGTGCTCGGGACCTGGCTGATCGTGGTTCAGGGGCAACAACTTGTGCACCATTCCTTTAGTGAAATGTCTCTAGGTTTAACTGGTTCAGACTTCCTTCTCATGAGATGATGTTAGTGCTCATTCCCTGCTCGGCTTCTGCTACCAACCGGTTGCATTTCTGCACTAGGACAAGCATACACTTGACCAATGGGCTGGTCGAACAGGTAGTACAGACACAAAGGACATCGTGAAAGCTGTTCACTTCTCTTTTCTGCTGTTGGGATAAGCTAGCACAATTTCTATGGTACCACTTGGAACAGTGCGAGGAAGGTAGGCCTAATTTGGCCAATCGATTACCTTCTCCTGCCCCGCAAACGCCCTTGGCTTGAAGCTTCTTAGATGTGCACATGCTCGATGTTCGCCATTCGGCCTGGTGTAGTTACCTGAGCCAGTGGGACATCTGAGGATTGTTCTGAGTTCCGTGGCGGTATGCATCTGTCTAGCGAACGATGCAGTTTGAAAGGTCACGTGAGCGGTCGTTGAAGTTGATTTGGCTGCCCGTCGGTCCTAGTTGTCGGCAGTTGCACTAGTTGGCATGGCCACAAACAATTCCACGATGGCGGAATCAGGCAGTAGTTGGACCAAGCGCTAAGATCTCCGGAAGTAGTCAGAAAATATTCACCCAATCCGCACAGATTGAAACTTACGCCAAAGGAAGTATATTGATGCACAGTTCACACAGAAAACACGTAGAAGACAGTAATCTGGGGGCAAAAGTATAATCCAGAATACGGCACTTCAAATATCCTCGGCGTTCGTGGGTACAGCCCTACCCTGTTGTGATTGACAAGCGTCTAAATGTGTGATATAGCAGGACGTTATAAAATTGCGTCTTGGAATACTCACTGTGCGTTTGGGTTTCGACACCTTTATTGGGATCCCGGTTTTCTTTGGAGTAGCTCTAGCTTAGTGAGAGCACTGGGACCATATCCGAAGCAGAAAGCTTCGGTGTTTCTCCTCCCAACATTAGCACCCCACCACCAGTTTAGTTCTTGTTTTGATCCACCGGGTTCTTGTGATCGAGGTTGAGTGTGGAACAGGGGTGGCGTGTGACAGCTGATGCCTTGATCACTATGCATCTCAGCTACGCCTGGTACAGCGGCTAGGAATGCAGTTGTGAGCTACCCATACAGCTTCAAGTTGCTTCGTCTCCCTATATTCTTCTCTTTTGAATCTCGGATAATTCGGGAAATTTAGTGCTACTTTTGAGATTCTTTGGAATGCAGTTCGTATCCTGTTGTTCTCAGGAGGTGTATGGACTATGGGACAGTCTAGCTGTGACGAACTCTTCAAACTCACACGCGCCCCTTTCAGCAGCAAGGATCCATTATACTAGTATATGAGAGTTCGTAACTTAGCAAAGTGAGTTTTAATTTCGAAGGCGAAAGCTGGCATCTTCGTGGTGATACCACATATAACAGTGTGGGTTGACATGCGTTGCAATGCTGGTCATTGGTGTAGTTGGTAGGCTTAGTGACCAGATAGGCGCATTTCGCATCTGATACTTCGTAAACCCGAGTTCTTTGACTCCTGGGCCCGTGGAGTCGTCCATAATGATTTCATACTTCGGCGCTTGTGAAGTGATATGGCCATCTCTTTTTGTCAGTTTCTTACTCTTTGTGGACGTTTGATTCAGCACATAGAGTCCTTTGGATCAGTGATGCTCTCCTTACTTTCACTGGCATTACCTTCTGAACGGATGTTTTGTTTCCTTATAGCGAACAAACATTGGACACGCAACGAAAATTTACGGATACTACAACTGCTACTGGTATACTTAAGTACAGCGTAAGGACTAGAAGGGTACTTCTTCTCAAAAAGCGACAGGTACAATAACATATTCTGAGGTTTGGAAAGGTCGTCCTCTGCGTTACTCTGTCATAGTCGCTCGCTGTTCCTGGTCACTTATACGATGCAGTTAATCGATGCTGCGCAGCGATACGGTCAACCGTTCAAATCAGCGTATCTTTAATTTAGTAACCGTATTCTTGAGCCTGGCGGAATCACTAGTAGGAAGGAAGTTTGCAAATGTTGGTGTGTTCACACATTGGGGCGTCAAATGCCACTAAGTTTTGCTTCGCAGTGAATACACTTTCAAGACATTCAAGCAGTGATATTTCCAGGACACTTTCTCGACGCTACAGAGTCTCTTGTCAGCTACAACTTTAATCACAGAGGACCGGTCCACTGACGAATTCTGGGAACAAATGGTTTGCACCTGCTGAGTTCTGTTGTCAGTGACACATCTTCTCTGTTGTATTTAGTTTATCTACTGCGCCTCCAAGTGTCAGGGCAAAGTTGAGCGTTTTGTCAAAACCAACTTACCGCATGATGCATCCAACCGCTATGCAAATGATGGCCACGATTCCCAGTCCCACGATCAGCGCGGTCAGCGCCACGGTGAATGTGTCCGCATGTCCTCCGAGCTGGATTTTAGGGCGCGCGACCGGACCAAACGGCTCCTCACTCGGCTCTTGTGTCCCTGTTTCTGTGTGGTCCTCATACGTTATAAGTTTATGTGGGCTAAAGCCAACAGACCAGTCGCTTGAGGTGCACAACCTGGCGTTTGAATCAATCATCTCGACGCCATCAACCGGTCCGGCTTTATTTGGCAGATCACTCTGGGCGAAATTCTGTTCGGCTGAAAACACGTCATCGCGCGGTTTTGAACTGCAATCGGTATTGGGGTAGATGCATGCCAGTACAAAGGCCTGAGCAAAAGGCAGTATTATGACACGAATGTATTATTATCATGACAACGTGTTGCGTAGGTGATAAAAACATATGTGATAACCAGATCTAATTTTCTCGCGGATGTGGCTACTATACAAATCTTACGTGAGGTCTGTAGGTCGTAATTATGGTAGTTAACCTGACAGCTGAACAGTGTACTGGCAGGTTGCTACGTGTTTAAAGGTATCGCTCTGCCGCTTCCGATTCACATAACCCATGCCCGCATTAATACTATGCTAAAAAGTATAGACTACAGAAGCGTTCAATAAGCAAATAATATATTGTTAAATCTCTTATTTGGCATTTAAAATGAGATCGAAGTTGGCGGGGGAATCTGAAGGTGAAGGGGATGGACAAAAAAAGTTGCAACACCAACGCCATTGTAGCCGGCTCTTCGCCATATCAGCGAGTCTCCAAACAAATTTGTTCATTGTCCTTGGGACCCCAGCCCGGCAGTCGGGAGACACCAATAGACGCCAACTTCGAAGTGACGGTTTTCATTCCTTTCGACCAAGTCATTGCTACGCCTTCCCTCCACTTCGTCCACCCACAGCCCCGGTGCATAAACAACGCATGACGCGGGATTCGGTAGACTGGTATGCAAAACAGGTGGCCCAGCCACTGGAGCCTGGTGCGTGAAATAACGGTGCTGAGCGAAGGTTTTCCTTGTACTGTACCATAAGCAAGGCGTCCAACACGATCGTCGCTCACACGGTGATCCCACCACAGATCAGACAAACTGCGAAGGCACCAACGGTCGAACGTAACTAGCCTGTTTACGTCTGCTGATCTTAAAGGCCAGGTTTCACAACCATACATTGGGATGGAACGTTCGGCTACGTTTTGCAGTCAAACCATTAGGAAGAGAGTGATGTCGCGCCGGCGGCATAGGTGGCGAAGGTTAGCAAAAGCGCCTCGAGCTTTTGCTGCACGGTTTGTGACAGCATCTTCGATTTCACCGGCGCTGGTATAACTGCCTGGGCACTTGAATTTCTGAACGACTTCTAGCTGACCCCCACTAGGAGTCAGCGCGGGAGGCGGTCGCCGAGGATCTTGCACTTTGAGGATGCAACGCAAAGCCCGAACTGACTGGCAACCAGTGCAAATTCGTGCAGTGCAGACTGGCGCGTTTGGGCGCTGTCACAACTGAGGGCCAAATTGTCAGTATACCCCAAGACAAGAAGTCGTTCACCTGGGAGCAGTTCCGCACCTTCTAAAGCGTGTCCACGACTTTGTTAGTAGCGAAGTTGAAGAGGAAATGTGACAGTGCACATTCCTGTCTTACGCCGATGGAACTATTGAAGGGCGGCGACAGCTCGTTGTAAGCCTCCACTCGGCCCGAACTATACGCGTACTATTTTTCGAGCAACCTTTCCTTAACAGGCAATTCAAAAGAACGCATCTGTTCACTGAATCGAAGGCACATTTGCTACTAATAAACACGACAACGGTGGACAGTTAATATAAATGGGAAGGTGCTCCGACCTCGACGAAACCCAGCTTACTCTTCACAAATCTGGCTTTCACGCGTGCCAGTCAATCTAACAGGTAGACAACTTGGGTGCGATGACGATCTGACTGATTCCTCTATGGGTACCTGCAAAATTCGAGCTCTGTGCTCATTTTGCGGTCCTCTTCAAGTGACACTAGCATTACTTGCTCATTGCGTCTATCCGGACATGGTACACATTCGAGTGCCGGTCAAACCGGTGTTGCTATTGCCCTAAGTCCCCGGACTGAAGCTGCCATGGTTGATTGGATCAGAATCAGTTGCTGGATGTGTGCGGTCCAAGTGGTTGGCTAGTTCAAATCTTCGAAGTTGCGCGGGGCTAATAGGCGTCTGTTAGTCATCGCTGTATCCGCGCCAACGAACTGTAGCGATGGTTCGGTAGAAGACGACTCCTGCCAGCAACTGAACGAGCTTCTTCGTCACAGAAGGAGCACGGATAATGTAGGCTGGGGATCTAAGTACTCAAGTTGGAAGATTTTCTATGATGAGCTTCACTTGGGCGACCATCATGGCGTAAGCATCCGTAATGGTAGTGCCGAGCATTTACTCCATCTATGTGATGCTCGTTTATTTCTTGCAAGCAGTAACTTCCACACAGCACCCTCCGGAGGGTGACATGGCGTTTTCCTGCCTTAGACCAACCACGGACACAAATCGGTCGCACTGCGATCAGATACTGTTGGAGAGGCTGCGTCCAAAACTGTCACTGGATTTGGAACACATGTGTGGGTACTGACCATGCACTGACCATACACAAGCTTGACGCGCGTGCATCCGAGTCATTTGGAATAGTCCTCTATCTTCTCGCAGCGTAGTCACCGTACGCTCATTCGAACCGGACTTACCAGCTCTACACAGTGATCCATCATACGTGGAGGTATCTTTTACCAATAAACTCTTAACCATCGTTAAGAAATTTGGCTGTCATCCGTGATTAAACACAAGCAGATACCTCATTCACCTTGTGCCCATGCCCTTCTGTGTAACGCCATTCGGTGCAGAATTCTCGAGGCAGTCCGAAAAGCCTAAGCTTATTCCAATCGGGTGTTTCTCAACGCATCTGTGAAGGAATTTGTTATCACTCACTCTGTGTTCAGCGTTGGGTTTAGATTCATTTACTAGGTTCCAAGGCAGCCGACCAACACTGCAGTATGTGCTTGCAAGGGATCAGCGCTGACACCGGACGCGCCACGCTAACTCACGCATATCATTGACGCGGTAAGCTAGACTAACTGATCATCCGACAAACGCGTAACCTTAAAACTGCATGCCTTCGGCGAACATGTCACACGTCAAGAGCAAGTGTGAGTTGTGTGTTAACTTGGTGAAGAGTGGGCTAGTTTGCAGCATTTGCTTGAAAACCTATCACACAAAATGCCTTGGGACGGAGCCGATAAAAACGAGACGGTACAATAATGCGACAGAGGCATTTCGGTTCTGCCCAGTATGCAGTGCTATCCCAGTTGTTAGCTGTCTAACTGTGCTACTGAAGAAGTGTGAAGGACTAAAGAAAGCAGTCGAGCAACTGGTGTGCGCCAGGGTTACACCTATGCGAGGAAACGGACCTGCACTTGTATGTGAAAATAACACCCCTAATTCCCCATTCAGGCTGAAGAAAAGAGCCAGACGTCCCAACCTTACCTCAGCAACTCTGTCTCAATCAGTACCAATTCCCTTCTCTCTCTCCCCATAAGTAAAAACATTGTCTGCAGCGTGCCTGCTTCAACTTCTGAACAGTGCGTTACACCTAGTAGTTTATTCGCTATACAGGGGACTCTAAGCTGCAATCAACCAGCCATAGTGAGGAACCAGGTAACATACGCAGCGGTTGCCGCCAAGCAAACCCAGGAAATAGCACCCGTAACCTTGGTGGCCGGAGTAGAGAAAACTAAAATGTCGCAGCACGGATGACCCCCATCAGTGCCATTCACAAATTCATCTAAAGCACCGGAAACTAAGCCTCTAAAACCAGTAGCCACCAAGCGAAACAATGGCGCGTTAAAGCTTATGTGTACTAATGTCCCCGAATCCAAATCCAATACAATTAAGGGTAGGCTGACAAACGATCAAAATCAGTGGAGTTCCATCGGAACAGCAATCGGTGTCCATGCTGATCCCACAACCTTAAAACGCATCTCGTAGCACCCAAATGCATTGCAATACGGTGAATCCCGCTTACTCCGGGTAACACTAAACTCGGTGGATGAGACAGAGGCCGGTCTGCTGTTTGCGAATAGACTCCTCAACGCCTCAAGTGAAGTGCGCATACTACCTGTAATCCCGTGGAATGTGTAGCCGATCCCACTAACAGAAAGTGGAAAAGGAAAAGTCAAGCTACGAAAACTAAGATTGCTCGCGGTGTCCCTGAGCTTACTAATCCCTCTTCCGACGATGCTCAGGCACACTACCGGGAGCAATGGCACTACATTCATGAGGTTATTTCTCTAGAAAATGTCGTGGCCACCTCGTTGACAAGGATCCCCGTATCAACCAACTGTAAGCGGTGCGGTCACAGGCTGTTGAAACTGGTGTTCCAATCAGAACTAACGGCCCAAAGTCTTCTAGAGAATTGGACTACATTCTGTAGCAGGTTGCCAACAGAAATTTATCTGAACGCAGCAGGAACACCACCACCTTCTAATGACAACTCAGTGGAGGCGCAAGTCTCAATGAGAACACCAACTGTAGGGCTTGACTCGATGACGGTTTCAACAGTAGCCATAACATCGGAGGGACGCAACGGTGCATGAACGAACAGCGGGATCCGAGGTATCTGATACTTGAATATATACCAAATTGGTCTCGAGTCTGCAACCCATCCAAAAAAACGATTAGCCACTGATCTTACATCGGTCGGCGTAAACTCACTTTCTTCATCCATTTCACCCAACACACTTTTGGTCTCCGAAAAGCTCTCATGCATGTTCACAAATGCTCAAGGTTTATTCAGCAAATTAGCTGAACTACTGCTTCAACAGGTGTCAGCAAATTTGGACTTCATTGCTATCATGGAAACATGGTTGCGCTGTGAGATAACGGATGCCGAAATCGCGCCAACAGGCATGTCCTTGGTCCGGAATGACCGAGCCAGAAAAGTGGTGGGGTAGCCCTCTACTTTAGTAAAAACCAGAAGTACGAACCCATACACGATTCGGAAACCGATGTATTTGACTCCATTTGGTACAGCTTCCGACTGAAAGGGAAGATATTGGTCTAGTGGTTGTTGTTTAGCGCCCAACATCGTCTACACCTGAGACAGACTGCAGCTTGGTGGCTTCATTGAGGAAAGTAATAAACAGCAAGTACAATCAAGTTCTAGTTGCCGGCGATTTCAACTTATATGCTGCAGAATCTCAGGCCACACCAGAAGAGCAATTCAAAGCTGACCTGCAAGATCTTGTCTCAGCTTTTCCGCCATATGGTCACGTCATTTCGCCCGCCAGAGTTAGGGGGAATAACGGGCTATCT